TTTTCTTTTTGAAGTCATCTCTTGTTTAAAAACTTTTTTTTTTTTTTTTTTTTTTTTTTGCCTGATAGGGCATGATTTTTTTAGCTCTATAAACTATGCATTAATAAGTAATCACTCTGCTCCAAAGGAACCATTTTCCATTTAGGAAAAGAATCGCTCTTCCTTGCACCCTTGAAATTATTCTAGTACATTTATCACTTACTGGCCCCTGGTTACTCAAATGACTAAGTCTATTCTAACAGGACCTTTTGCATTAAGAGTAGAGCTACTTACCTCATGTTTACTAGTGATTTTGAAATCATTTACAAACTTTACTACATTTTGTTCAAGTGGCTATATTCTACTCTCAACTGTCTTGGCTTCTGCTTCCTAATCCATATCTTGTGCCAACTAAAGCTCACCACAGATATGGTCAGTATTTGTCTAGAATCTCTAGAGAACAGGAAATCTGAATGTTGTGTTTTTTAATGTGTTTATTTTTCAAAGTAATACATTTTATCAAAGTAATACAAAGTAATGTATGGGACTAAATGAAGCTTAGTATAACATCTGTATGGCATCTTTCATGTATGTATCTCCCATCCCCTTTCAAAGTGACCTTGTCACACTCAGAGGAGGTAAGTAGATGCTATAAGCATCAGGGTCCCCATTTTTCAAAGATAAAAATACACAATTGACACAAAATAATTCACCACAATATATACAATGAATCATTGACAAAGACAGAAATAGAATCCAGGGCAATCTAGATACTTTGTGCCCCCTCCTTCCACCAGCTTTCAAGCCTCTCCTTTTCTCTTCTCCAAGCTCAAAAATACCACAAACACACAAAACTGAGTAAGCTGAGTAATGCTAGCCATGTGAAATTCTCCACATTTCTGTCTTCTCTGCCTAACTTAAGGGGAATATGAGGGCACATCAAATAGTATTGTCTGGGTTTCCTTCTTCCTACAATAACAAGCCATTCCTTCCCCTGTTGAATCATTTTTCCACCTAGGAATCCCTCTCAGCTCCATGGAACCTCAGATCCCAGTTCCTTTCTAAGCTAGCCTGAAATCAGTCAATATTAAGATCATGAGTTATTCTTCACTTCAATGAGATTATATTTCACTATAATTGATATTTCACAGGTAAAATTAAAAGAAATTTAACTAATTAAATTTAAGTTAAATTTTAAAAATTTGTCCCTAGGAAATAGGTTCAACAACAACAACAAAAAAATACACTCTTCTCAGCTAAAGATGTTGAGCACTTATACCCAAAACGGAGTCCACCTACCCTAACCTTGGTCAATGAATGATCATCAATCTAGACACCTGAAAAGAAGAAGCACTGTGAGCACTTGAACTCATAGAGAGGAGGATCTCAGGCTAATTGTCTTAGTGTTTCAGGAGAGCATGGCTGGTTTGAGATGACAGGTGCCCCAAGAGACACATTTGCTCTATGATGTGATCAGAGTCAGCTTCCAAGCCCGTATATCAACATCCACACCATGAGTAAGAGTGGTCTCTAGAAAATTCATTCCAGTTCCTGATAGTCAACAGAGTGGGTATTTTGTGCCAGCACAAGAAAAGATTGACCAAGTACCAACTTTACATAACAATAAAGCAAGTGTTTATAAATAAATGCTATATCATTCATTCAATCCACAAATATTGCTGAGTGGCTAAGACATTCCAGGAACAACAAATGCCAAAATGAGTAAAATCTCAAACATGAGGGATTCCCAGTGGACATTTTTATGAAGACCAGAAAATTTCCTTGACTCCAGATTATCTATCTTCTGTCCCCACTATCATGAGGCTAGTATGTGGATCCCCCACCCCTGCCAACCTTTGAGGTAAGTATTGACATCCCCAGGCCTCTCTTTCAAAGAGCAAACACCCATGACAGGAACCCCATCAAGCTCCCATCCTCAGCATTAATGCATTCATCAGTCATCAGATTGATTTTTCTTGGCAGGAATATGATACTGTGGGAGGGGAGAGGATTTTTCTTCTTAAAAAAAGATAAGGGGATGATCAGATAGGCAAAGTAGCAGGAACTAGGGAGATCAGAGCTCTTAAAATAATATTCAAGGATCACAAGCAATGTTGACACACTGAGTCTATCTGAAGCAAACTTGCATTAGATATCACAGGACTTCTGTTTCTTCATCTGCCTTTTCATGAGTAAGTAAACTTTTCTTCTGCAGCTCTAATATGTACAGCTGGCTGTGTCATATTGGCCTCAAATACATAAGTTAACAGCAAATTAATGATTTTCCTCCACCTAGACTGTAATTACACATGTACATCTTTATCAACTGGGCAAAATTTACAACTGATCAGTTTTCCTTCAACACCACAGAGTGGGACTAAAGGGAGGCAGAGTAAAGAGTCTGGCCTTTAGGAGGGCAGTCTGTAGCAAAAGGCAGGACTCAGGCAAAATATGCATGGCAGAAGACAGCCACGGTCAGCAGGATGATGCCGTTGACGTTCACTACTGTCCGCCACAAAGGCTTCTCGGAAGTGTCTGTCATCTTCAGCTTCATGGCTTCCTCTTCTTCCTTTGTCATTTTGGGACCCTTCTGCTGGTCCAGCCCACAAAACAAATCATAGGCCTTCCTGAAGCATCCTTTTTTCTTCTCAGGAACTTCTGTGTCAGGGGAAAGGCATAAAAGGATTATTGGATACATAAGCAGGAGGGACTAGAAAGGGTTTTCAGTGGAACATCTGCCATTCTGCAAACATTTCCCAATTTTCTTACTCACAGAAATGGAAATGATACAAAATGTTCACATGAACTTAATTACAAGATGATGTTAACAGATGAATTTTATATCCTTATGATCCGCTAGCCTATGTCTTATCTCTATCAGGCCCAATAAGAACACATCTTGATTTAGAACAATCAGAATCAAACATGAAATAATTATTTATGAGAGACAAGTTAACAATGGGTTGGGGAGCTGTGACACATATAAACTGTGAAACATATAAACATATCTGTTTGCCACATCACTGGAAAACGAAGAGAATTGAATGACTCAGGAGTGCATTGGCTACACCTGGAAGACCCAAGGCTTCACAATCAATCCAGCCATGTAGTAAGAATTGGTTTAAACAGTCCCTGATACAGGGCAGCACTGATCAACATTTTCAGGGCTTAAGGTCTGATGTTGCATATCAATACTTCTGAATCAAACCATCCAACTGGCCTGCCATTCAAAGTGGATGCCCACCAAGGGAACTGGTTCTCTCCTCTGAGCCCAAGTGTGGCACTGGAGGTAGACAGACCTGGGCTAGATTGTCAGGTCTGTAATTTACTAGATATGAAATCAAGCCCACTGTGTTTTTAGCACAGGGAACACTGCTGTCCATTCTCCCATTTTAAGTCACAGCATTTTAGAACTGGAAAGAACTTCAGTGGTCAGGCACATATATGTGTCAGAACTGGTACCAAAACCCACTTTTATGTCTTGTTAATTCACTTCTCATCTTCTGTATCTGTAAAACTGGGTAAAAATGCCTTCTTCATTATAAGATTGAATGAGAGAAAACCTAGTACATAGTAGGTATCAAGTGTTAGTCTCTTTCTATTCACTCTTTTCTCTCATGCACATAAGAGAGACAAGCCTCCTTTATCCCTCTACTTCGGTCCACTTCACTAAAATAGGAGAACAGGGAAGAAATAGCAAAGATTCAGGCTCACAGCCCAAGTGAGAAATTCATGGTTGTCTGGGCCATTAAAAAGTTGAGTGACCTTGAGAAAGTCTCTATGTCTCATTTTAGTCATCTGTAAAATTGGAAGAATTACACTTGCATTATCTGCTTTAAAAGAATGATGTCATGCCAAAATGAATCACTAGACTAGAGTAAGGTATTCACAATTAAAATATATTACAATCATATTATTATCTGTCATGATGATGGTGGTGATAATAATATAGGGGTGAATTCTCATACTGCTATTTCTCGAAGAATGATGAAGGTGGCACCTGTTGTCTATAAAAGACTTCTAGAGATCTTAGTTTATTGTACTTTAAGGGTAGGTGTTCAGTACGATTTCATGAGTTCATCAAAAAAACAATAGAATTCAAGTGTTGCCATGAACCTCAGACATCGTTAAGCCAATTTTCTAGCCAGTGTGAGAGTCCCCTCTAGGCATCCCTGATAGATACTCACCTGCTGCTCACCCCTTTACAGACAAACTCAGGAAATTCTTATTTGCAATCATAACGGTGATAATTACAGCTAATTCTATCATGGAACATCATATCATTCAATGTTTCCGACAGTGCCATGAAATATAGGCTAATGTTTAGAATATTTTTATGTGAGGAGCCTGAGCTTTAGAAAAATAAATATCACTTGCCCAGGATAGTAAGTAGAGAAGTCAGGATTCAACCTCAGTTCTTCCTGAATCCAAATCCCATACTCTGTCTCTGCACCATCCTGCCTCTTTACTTTGAGTTAAAATTGGATGAGTTTTTTTCTAATCACCAGTCTTTACTCTGCCCTCTGGTGCAAAATTAATCTCTTCTTCCACATTAAAACATTCAAAATATTTCTTCTCCATGGCCCTTTAAAATCTATGATATTCTCGCTCAATATGGGGCCATTTTTGGAGTAGGGAGCGTGTTCACGCTTGCCTGCTCCAAGGAAGCAGGAAAGGGCTGTGGGTTTTTTCAGCACCATGGTCAGCTGTCTATGGTTCCAGGCTCCTCCCAGCACTTGTGGAATCGCAGGTTTCAGAACCAAAAGGTCTTCAGAGATCAAAAGCAGATTGCATAAGAGCTGGGACCAGAGGCAAAGCCTCTCCTTTCCAAGGCCTCAATTTACAGGTCTGTAAAATTGAGGCGATAAGACCAAAGGCCCTTTTCAAAGCCAGGATTCTGATATTCCTGATAGTCAAATTTAGAACTTGTTCTGCCGTATCTGTGCTCTTTTTCACATTGAGCGGTAAGACCTTCAGCCCAATACAGGTAAAAAACATGACCTTGAGCTCCCACACTTTTGTACAACACACATCTCCACAACTATCTCCTGTAGGGAAGAAAAGTTGCAACACAGAAGTTGAGGAAAGCATTTCTCCATGACCAAGTAAGTTTCTAAACACTAACTAAGCATTATCTTACTGAATTTCCAGAGAAATGTGATTTTCCAAATTTGATGTGGTGAGCCAGTAACACATAAGATCCCAGAGCCTCTATTCCATCCTGCTGATGTCACTAGATCACAACTTTGGTTTCATCTGCTTTCCATTCATAGGCTATGTCAGAAGACCACTAACTCTTCCCTTGTCCCTGGCCAAGCCTCCAAATCAAGTCGAGGTAGAAAATTCCTCACCCACACTTAATCACTGGGCATTGTAACCTGTGAGGGGTGAGGGAGCTGGGATGATTCTGTACCTCCCTCCTTCCCTTGACCAGGCTTGAACATCCCGAAACCTATTTATTCATCTCACCCCTCACCTCTCTCACCACTCCCTTCTAGGAAAGAGATCTGAGCTTTGATGAAAGCATTTAGGGAAGGCTTCTGTAAAGTGATCTTGCTGTTGTGGGAGTAACTTTTTAGAGCTTGGGACTAGGCTCTGAGTCAAAAAATCACCTATTTCAGTGATCTCCTCTGGGTCTTCACGGAAGCCCTCTTCTCCTGCATCCAGGTCAATACGTTCTTCTTTGCTGTTGCGCAGGGACCAGCACAGGCGGTAGAGCTGTGGAGAAAGCAGAAGAGGTTAGAAGAAAGATCCAAACAGTATCTGAGGCCAATAAAGAGATACACATCAAGGAAAGGAAAAGTAATATGGCTTCTCAGTATCAACAAGAATGTAAATAACAGTGTCCAGCCATATCACTAGATCTAAATGTGTTAGAAGCTTAGATGTAAATTATACACATGCCCCCATAATATATGCATATTTTGAGACTAAGAGGCTGCCTTGAATACAGAAATATTTTAAATGAATAAACTCTTACTATACATAATAAATGAATTTGTTCCTTTTAGCACTAGTCCTCTGAAACAAGACTAGACACCCATTTGTCCAGACCAGCAGTATAAGATCATATTTTTGTAAATAGGTGTGTATCATATTCTGGGGAGAGGGTCTGTAGAATCATGAGCCATTTAGAACAGGGAAGAGCTGGAGGCATATTCTCTATTGACATGAAAACAGAAACTTAAGTCTAAAAATCAATGCAGTGTGTTCATCACAGCCATGCCCTCTTTGGTGACTACCTTGCTTTCTCTACTTCAAGAGGATGTGTGGAGCTAAATGTGTTTGGGGCTACTACTCAGAGAAAGACATCAGGAAGCAATTAATACAACACAAAGAAAGTTGGTGACAGATTCAGCCAGTAAATAGGACGGTGGTTCTGCTGCTGTAAAAGCAGTTTTTGTTTGACATTAAGTTTGGTCACAACTCTAAAAATTCAGCAATGAGTTTGAAGGTCTCTTAGGGATTTCTTAAGTCCCCGTATTTGTATACATGTGAATAATGGGTTAACAACACCCTTTCTCTTTCTCTATGGATAAATATGATCTTGAGTTAATTCGCTAGGTCTATATCTTGGAAACCCAAAAAAGAGAAGAATTTCAGTGATGCTAGGTTACCAGACTAGATTGTTTATGGTAAAAACGGCTCGTAATTGGTCATCTTCATCTGCATTAGGAAGGCTGAGAATATGCCTTAAACCAAGAGTGACATCTAGAGCTAACTGAATACTTGACATTTTTTAAATCTTGAATCAATTGGACTTTGATATTGTTTGAAATTTCTTGAATTCTATGGGCAACTGTTTGGAGGTTTAATTGGGAAAAATAAAGAGCAAATCGTACTTGAGATTTCCCTGTATGTGCTAATTTTTGTAAGTAAGTATGTCCCTTCCAGGAACCGTTGAGAGTTCTGACCATGAGACTGTTACAAAAAATGTAAGTTCCTATTTGGGACATGAGCATCTAAGCCACGGTATCCTCCGTGTCTGCCAACATGATCTCACTCCCTTGTACCTGAGCTGTCATTTGGGGAGCGTAACTCAGAGAATATCCCCTGCACTGCTGTGAGGACTCTTGCTGAAGACTCATGCTTGATACTGCCCTGCTGGGACAGCAAGTTTCCTATCCTGTATCCTTCAACAGGACACCAATGGCAAGTACAGACTATTTTAGTCATGTGTGAGATAATCTAATTGAACCGAGGGCGACCAAGATGGGTGTTGCTGCATGAATAGGAACAAAGGCAGGGTAGGTCTCCTGAATGGATACTCACATGCACATCTGGAATGGGCTTGGTGAAGAGAGAGACAACGACAATGATGATGACAGTAATGCAAAAGAGGATGATGGCAAAGTACAGGTAGTGCACACCACAGATAATCGTGGGACAGTTGCTGGGCTCCATGCAGCTTCCAGTTCCGTAAGAAAACTCGGTGACCATACGAGACACCCCAATCAGAAATCCTATGATCAGTCCCCAGAAGGCTCCCTGTGAAAGGAGACCCTGGGTTAATGAACGCCCGAACACACAAAACAACTGTGCATTCCTAAGGGGACAGAGGCAAAAGAATAAAGGTAAGAGAAATGATAGGTCCAGGCAATCTGAAGCCAGAACACTAGAGTTCAGAGTATGGCTCAAGATTATTATGTCAGGCCTTCCATGAGTGTCATGCTTATCATGTTTCAGTGATTTGATTTTCTCTGGGTCATAAGACAAGGATTCTTCATATGATGGGTTAAAGTGTCTAATAACTGGTTAGAATATCAACTGAAAGCCTTAATTCCAAAAATTCCCTTTAACTTTAAAAATAACTTGAATCTTTTTGCCTGCAGTTACTATTACCATCAGCCTCCAGATAGGTACATTCAGATGTAAAGTAATTAATTGTAAAGTAATTTGTATTCCTCAAAGACATGGAAAAAGAAATTGGGTCATTAGAGGATAGAGGAAAAAGGAACTTTTCCCTCAGCCCCTTTTATAAATCCAAAATCACTGTTTTTAATTTGAGAACATAAAATTATACTATATGTTTTTACATTAAATTTTAGATTTACATATTAGAAATACAGAAGCCTTTAAGAGACTAGAAACATTAAGAAACATTTTTTCATGATATTTTAACCATTCTTTCCTTCTTTCCTTCTCCTCTTCCTTCTCTCTCTCTTTATTGCCATTCTTTGCCTAGAGGACCAGCTCTGAGTCTAAAGGCCGCATTTTAAAAGGACCAGTGACAAAGTAGAGCAAGCTTATATAAGAGCGGCCAAAAGAAGCTTTCATGATTTTGTCAAGTGTTGATCTGAAGAGCTCCCTCGTTAGTAGTCATCAGTACTCCTGCACTCAGGTGCCATAAATTACCAGCTATTATTAAACATAGCATGTATGTTCGTGTCCCAGGTCTTTGCACAGGTCATTCACTCTACCTGGGAGAGCACAGGCTCTTCCCTTCCTGATAATCTTGTCTGGTTTGAATGTCCCCTCTTCTCCCCAGACAGAACTAGGTCAGCACATCCTCCTTGGTTGTGGCTGCAGCACTGTGGACACACCTCCACGCCAGCACCACCCACACTCTTATATAATCACACATTTGCTTCTCTGTCTCCCCATCTGAAATGGGAGCTCACCCAGGGGAGAAACCAGTATTCATTGCCTTTGTTTTGCTAGCGCCTAGCCCCATATCTGGCATCAGGAAGTGTCTGCTAGATAAATAAATGAACAAGGAAGAAGGAAAAGACTGATGTTCTCCATTCATCCCCCATACACTTACTCAGTTGAAAAATTATTTCTTGACTTTAGTTTGTGTGAATAATATCAATAAAACTTGCTACAGCTTTCCTTCTTTCTTGGCAATTAGCCTCTCCCTATTCCTTCGGTCTTTATTCTCAAGAGGTTCTTTTAAAATCTGAGAAATTTTAACATTTTCCTTAAGACTCAGAGTCATCCCTCAGCAAACACAGTGCCTGACCAGTTCTGAGAATCACTTTGCAGCCTCTACCTGCTACCCTCTGGAGATTCTAGATTGGTGTTTCTCAACCTCCACACTGTGACATTTGGGCTGGATAATTCTTTGTTGGGTGTTAAGGGTTGTCTTGCATATTCTAGAATGTTTAGCAGCAGCCCTAGGCTCTATCCACAATAGCACTCCCTAAATTGTAACAATCAAAAATGTTCCCAGACATCACCAAATGTCTCCTAGCAGAAGTCAAAATCACCCCCAGTTGAGTACCTTTATAGTTCATCCCAATTCTTAGCCTTTATTTTTTGAAAGACCTAGTTCATTGCTGAGTTGAGTCTGCCTGTGACCCATCACAATACTCAACTGAGCTCCTAGCCACAAGTTCCTAATTTGCAGTTTAGAAATCTCTTGGTGAACCAGCCTCTGCCAATTCCTACTGAAACTTATCTCATTGTGTGCCCATTACTCAAACCTGTCGAGATCACGATCAGGTTCAACTCTAATATCTTGGGAATGTTTATCTGTACACTTTGTTTTGTGTCACCAGCAAATCTGAACTATCTCCCTAATGGCAAATGGCAAATGAAGAGAGACATGTAGTGATTTATGCACCTCAAAGCTGGATCACTCTATGGAGCTATATTCCCCTGGTATGTATTTGTTCCTGTCCTATGGGGAGAAAGAGGTTATCTTCAACCAAATATATGTCATCGTTTACATTATTTCAGACGATGAGCTACACAATCAGCACCCCCACTCCTTCCTAACCCTCTCCAGGCAAGGAAAAAATGGTTGCATACAGAGGCAGCTGAGCAACACCCCACTCAGAAGGCATATCCACAGGAATTCTCTACAAAGTGCTTTAAAACCTGTGATGGTACCCCACTGATGACCCCGACACTTGAGCCTGGCTTTCAAAGGGGCTGCACCTAACCTAACCTTAACCTGCCTCTCCAGTTGTGTCTTCTGTCATCCACACACACAACTCCCTCTCAAGCCAAGCAAGATTGCTGACAATCCCCTCACCCTCATCCCTGTCCTTCCATTTCCACCTGCAAGTTCCAGACAGTGCTGTTCTCTCTGCCTTGAATGCCCTCTTTTCCTTCTCAGTTTCAACCCATGTTGATATAGCCTTTCTAGGAATCCGTCCCTACTAATATTTTATCCCTCAATTGTTATCTACCTCATGTGGTTTTATATATAAACTGCTTGAGCACCAGGACTTTGTCTTCACTAGGCCCTGAAAAGTGCTGGCCAGAAAGTTAAGCTCACTGCAGAACCACCAGAGGTAACCTGTGCTAGGACTTGCTCTGGAGTTGCTTGCCCAGGGGCTACAAACTTCCTGGGCAGTGCCATGCAGCTTGGGGAAAATCACCAAGATTGGATGGAAAATGTATATCATTAGCTGGAAATTAGTTTGGAACCTGCAGCAAGGAGAAGAGAGGAGCCCAAGAGATTGAACCCGTGAGAGTCCCATGGTTCCTGAACAAACCCTAAGAAGCACATCCATCCCGGCTTGAGACCTCTGTGAAATAGAATCCTTCCCACAGAGAATATGCTAATCAAGGTGGGAATTTCTGTGCCAGAATGGGCTTTCCTGTACATACATGAATGATACCTACCTGCTCATTGACTCTCTTGCAGAAAATAGCAAGCAGGAAGACAGCTGCGATGGGTGGTCCCAAGTAACTGGTGATGGACTGGATGTAATCAAAGAGCTGCCCACTTTGTGCTGACTGCACAATGGGCACCCAGGCAATGCTGATGCCAATCAGCACCAGGATAAACAACCTGAAATCAGAGCCCCCACAACAGAGTGTCAATACATGGCTTTACATGAATCAACATATGTGGCTATGCATCATATATATATATAATGACCCCAGCAAGAAAAGATAATTAGCAAATTCATTCTTATGGCTTTTTTCTTTCATATTCTCCTTCCTTAGGAAAGTCATCTGTGCCTATGAATAAGTAAAATGCACTTGACTTTCAACAGTAACCTCAACCTGTCACTACAATAAGAGAATCCCACTTTGAGAAGCAGTAGAGCATAGGAACAAGAGTGTAGACTTTGGATCCCAGCAATCCTGGATTCAAATTTTTATTCTCTCTATGACCTAGGACACTTTGCTTTACCTCTCAGAGTTTCAATATCTCCATGTGTAAACTAGAAAGAATACAACTAACCTTGCAAGTTTGGAATAAAGAGTAGCTGTAGTAAAACGTCTAGCAAATTGTAAGCACTCAAAAAATAGTAAAAACTATAATTATTATTTTCTTCTCCTCCTCTACCTTCTCCCTCTTCTTCTTCATAAGAAAGTTAAAATCATAAGACAAGAAGAGTTTATAAAGGAACAGTCTAGATAGAAAGGGACTCTACCAGGTATTTCTACCTTTCCTCCTCTTGAGTTTCACTTTAAATTCTGAAAAGTTTGGAGGGTTCCCTTACTAGTCCTCTTACTTGTGCTCTTGGTTTAATTAGAAAGAAGGCTTGATTCCTTGGCCTCATTTACTTGAATTTAAGGCAAAAGAGTCTGAAACTAACCTTCACAAAGCAATGTTTTCATTCACATATTTCTCCTCCTGGAATGCCCTCCTACTGCTCCCCCACTTACCGAAATCCTACCCACCATGTTGGACTCAGCTCAAGGTCACCCTCCCCTAGGAGCCTCCCCAAACTACTGCATGCCATGCTCACCTCTCTCTTCCCTAAGCCTTTGATCACTCTTACAGTCCCCACAGAAAAGTTCAGGATTGTTTCATGTAACTGTAGGCAGGGACGAGCCCCAAGGCAGCAGTCACTGGGTGCACAAAAATGCTAGCCCCAGCATAATCTCAGAGTCAAGGGGTCTAGCCTTGAGCAAAGCAACAAAATGGTTCTCTTTCCATGTTGCATCTTGAGCCTTATAAATAACAGGAAAAGCTAGTAAACTCCTTTCTAAGGAAAAATTACTCAGGGTAATGGTGTTGCTTCCTGTGAAGCAGAGTAGTAAACTCTTGCCTGGTCAGACCTCTCCTGAACGCCAGATATCTTGTCATCTACTGTGACCTTTCAGTCTCCCTTTCTTTCCTTTGCCTTAATCTTGATTACAAGAACTATGAGGTGACAAACCCTTTCTGCAGTCACTGGGGACCTCTCCTTTGACTGACATCCCAGAGATTTGTTCCACTTGCCCTGAGGATATTGACCTGCCATTGCCCCATGGAGAGACATAGCAGAGCTTCTGCTAGTCTGTTCAGACCATCTGCTCCATGGATAATCATGATTATTAGCACACCTGACTCATGTGTCAATGCTTACTACTTCCTGTATCATATCATGTCCATTAGTCCATTGACAATAACAAATGTGCACAGAGCCTGGTGTTTTAGACTTTATAAAGTATGCTCCCAGGCACAATAACATCTGACCCTTACAATGAGCCTGCAAAATGTTGCTGCAAAGGGTCAAGGCATTGGAGGCATCTGGACCTCAAAGATGACCAGTGAGGAGAGCTGCAGTGTGGAGGGCTGAGGAGGACAATGTGGGGTGGTATAAAGAGCTGTAGATAAGGACTCAGTTGGCCATAGGTTCCAGTCCTGGCTCTGCCATTGTCCCAGCTGCTTGGATTTAGGCAAGACAAGTCTCATTTTGCTCATTGATAAACTGAGGGTTAGATTAGATGATCCTTGATATCACTTCTCACTCTAGAAGGGCACATTTGACAATAAGCATTTTAAAGTTAATGTCACTGAAGGGCAAATATAACTAGCCACAGTGGTTACTCCCATTCTACCCAAGTATCTACCAGTCTTCCTCAGCTTGAGGGAGCTGCTCTGATCATTCCAGCTTTCATGGTGCATGACAGGGGGAAGCTGCATTTACCTTCCTGCAATCATAAGCTCTTTCTCAGTTGCACCCTTCCGAATCTTGGTGTAGATGTCCATGGTGAAAAGGGTGCTGGCACTGTTGAAGATGGAGGTCAGGGAGCTCATAAGAGAGGCCAACATGACCGACAGCATCAGGCCACGCAGTCCTGGAAAAGAAGGTTCTGAGTGATGCACAGCGCCTCAGTTCTTTTGTGTTTGGAAAGTTTGAGGACTCAAGGTTTGTTTGGCTGATGAAACCATGCCATGCTCTTCAATTTATCTCTCCAGAAAGACCAGACATTTTTAGGAATGGACTGTGGCTTTACATTATATTGTAAACCAACAGCAGTCAACAAAGAGCTAGGGACAAAATATATATGAGGTAAATACTTTGCAGTTGTATGGTGATGGTGGTGGTGGTGGTGGTGGTGGTGGTAGTGTGTGTGTGTGTGTGTGTGTGGGTGTGTGTGGGTGTGTGTGTGTGTGTGTGTGTGTGTGTGTGTGTGTCCATCTGAGGGGATTTTTATGAGGTCTCTCACTCAAAAGATTCATAATATAGCAGAAATATTTAAACTAGAATTCAAAAGATGAGGTTCTCAAAAAAATGAAAAGACAACCCATAGAATGGGAGAAAATATTTGCAAATCATATATCTAATAAGGGTCTAGTATACAGTATATATAAAGAACTCCTACAACTCAATAATAAAAACACAACCTGATGAAAAATGAGCAAAGGGCCCGAATAGATACTTCTCCAAAGAAGATAAACAAGTGGCTAATAATCACATGAAAATATGCTCAACAACAGGAAAATTCAAATCAAAACCACAATGAAATACTACTTTTCGCCCACTAGGGTAACTATAGTAATAATTAAAAAAAAAAAAAAAGACAATAGCAAATGTGGTTGGAGATTTGGAAAAACAGGAACCCTCAAACATTGCTGGCAATAATGTAAAATGGTACATCTACTGTAGAAAATAGTCTAGCTGTTCCTCAAATAGTTAAACACAGTTACCATACGGCCCATTAACTCCACTCTTACCTCTTAGACAGTCCTGACTCATCTGATATCTCTATAACTTCAAACACAGTCCTTATGCTACCGAACAGAAGAGTTCTTACCCTTTATCCACTTTACCATCTTTCACATATTCAAAGACATCTCATGTCCTCCAGAACTCTCTCTTCTCCAAGCTAAACATTCTCAGTCTCTTGCAATATTCCTGTATAATGGGGTTTGGAGGACCCAAGTACATTAACATAGATCTCTATTAAACATTAGCTTGTAAGAGTTGAGCTAACATTCCTGCCTTTTGAAATATTTTTGGAACATGATTCTATGGTTCCTCTACATTTTGTATCTGTAAATAATTGTATGATTTCATCTACAGCCTTGCAAGATGAGTTATAAAGGCTGCTCATTCCAATTATTTTATCATTTGTCAGGAAGATTTTTTAAATGGTTCCTCCTGAGTTTGTATAACGTAGATCACAGTCGATTGGAGCTATAGGAGTTATAAAGATTATCTAGTCAAACTACTACATTCTTCAGTTGATGAAACAAAGGTCAATTTCAAGGAGTTAGTACGTAGGGCTTCGAGCCCTACCTCCTCCATTTGCTTCACCAGTTAACTGTTAAGCTCGGATGGAGCTCCCCTCTCTATACCATATTCTTATCAAACTCCCATTCATTTATTCTCTTGACAAATATTTGTTAAATATAACTTTACAGTGATTCAAGCAAGAAATAATGGTAGATCAGGGTAGGATAGTGGAGGTAAAAATAGAGATAGATGAATCTAAGAGATATTTAGGAAGCAAAATGGACAAGATCTGGTGATAGATTGGAGGAGGAACATTTACTAGCTGAGAGGAAGAGGCTGAATCTGAAAATTAGACAAAAAGAGCAGCTAAAAAGAATGGGAGTGGGACAAACCAGAAAATATAGTATTATAATATCCAAGAGAAGAAAATAACTGAAGAAAAATGAATGTTCAATAATGTTGAATGCTACTGAGGGGTCAAGTAAAATGAAGAATGGAAAATATCTATTTGATCCACCACCAGGAGGTTATCAGCGAATTCAGTATTTACAGAAGCCAGATTCCAGCTGGTAAGAGAGTGGCCATGGTACAGGTAAACACAGCATTTCATTGTCCTACATGACACACTTCTTTCTGTCCTGTACAATGCTAGAACAATAGTACTCACCCAGGGTCTGTCTGCCAATCTAAAGAAATAGCATAAACTCCCCCACGTAATCTAAGGCCAGTATAATCTAAGCCAGAACTCTAAAAAAGCCATGTGACTCTTACTAATTGTAACCTTAATTAATAACCAACCCAGCTCAATGGTACAGTTAACTATTACTCCCACATTTATAGAATTTAAATGTAAACAGTTTGCCCAAGGTCATGCATCTAGTCTGTGGTTTAAAATTTTTTTTTGAAGACCATTCCAAGTTCCTCAATTGCAGCCTTGAGCAGAGTTCTGTAAGCCAGACACTGAGTTGCTATGTGGCTTGGAAAAGTCACTTTCCCTCTGTGTAGGCCTCAGTTTCCACAACTGTAATAGGAAGAGTTTTGACTAGATGATCTCTATGTTTCTTTTTAGCAATAAAATTTTATATAAGTTTGTTCTAAATTTTCCTGATAAATACCTTTGAATTTTTGGTCTCCTGAGACTCCCTAACCTAACAAGATTTGCATCTCTTGAGCCAGAATTAAATTTTTCTTCAATATGAAATATGAACAATAACCCCAAAGGTCTGCCCCAAAACCCTAGTGATTCTGGATTTAGTCCTCAATCTCCTACAATAACACATTCTCTATAGTGAGGAGCCCTCTTGCACCCCATCCATCAACTGCCTCAAACGTCCTCATTCCAGAGCTTTCTCTCCATGTTTTTCTTTGGAACAGTCTAAAAGTCAATTCATTCTCCAGATAAAACTCTGCTTAGTTCAAGCCATCATGTTAATGTCTGTTGGAGAACTAAGAAAGAACTTCCAGATAAGCATGGAAAAGTCATGGTCTTCCCTAGTACCTTTTCAGATTATCTCTTTTCTATGTTTGACTGATGGACAAGTGCTAGGTCTCAGAGAGCCTAACCAAGTCCTATGTCTCCTAGTCAATTCATTCTCCAGATAAAACTCTGCTTAGTTCAAGCCATCATGTTAATGTCTGTTGGAGAACTAAGAAAGAACTTCCAGATAAGCATGGAAAAGTCATGGTCTTCCCTAGTACCTTTTCAGATTATCTCTTTTCTATGTTTGACTGATGGACAAGTGCTAGGTCTCAGAGAGCCTAACCAAGTCCTATGTCTCCTTCCCCTTGTGGGAAGATATGATAAAAAAAAAAAAAAAAAAAAGCTGAGGAACCCTGGAGGGGGGCTTTTTTCCCTTTCTTCCA